CTGCCGATTTTAAGGCTAACCCGGACAATCTTCCCACAAAATCGTCAATCGATTCTGAGTCAGACATCTTTAATCGGTCGAATTTGGCCATCAAGGTTTGTAACCTAGCCTCCTTCACGCGGTCATCACCCACACGCCTGGATTTGATTGCGTCCCACAACACCTTTGAGGACTCCACATCTCCGATTTGCATAATCAAAGTCCCCGGGATCGCCTGATACAACAACCCCATCGCCAGGTAATCTTTATCTTCGTTCTTTTCTGTTCCTGGATCAATTACTGTCCAAGCCTTATGGATTTTGAGAACTACCTTCATTCGTAGAGCCCAAACAGTATAGTTGGTTGATGATAACATGGGACATACGACTATGCTGGATCCAACTTCCTTCACATTCACCGGAGCAGCTCCTCCTGCATTCGACATGTTGACCTAACTTGACAACAGGTAAAAATTTGATCTCCCAGCCTTCGGTTCCTAAGCTCTAATACCTACCAATTAAAGTTTAGAAAACAAGAATGCAAAACAAAATAACCAAAATAACTCTTTGATTAATTGGAAAATCACTCAAAACCAATGTTTTTACAATATGTTCTCATAATCATAAACTCGATTATGGACAGGTATATATAGCCTAACATACCAACTTGTATTAGACTGGAAAACTTATGACCAACTTGCCATAAACTAGACTTGCCATAAATTAGATTGCTTGGACCCCAAGACTTAGGATTCCAACAATTGCTTCTATTTTGAACTTGTATGTTAATTTGAAATTATTGGTATTGTTTTGGGTAAAACTTGGTTTTGGTCAAAATGCAGCTATTACGCTGTCCAAATTTCGTTAGATAATTTATAATGGTTTTTATACAATGAATAAAAAACGAGTCTAGAAACTTCACAACTTAAAGTTTAGGACACACAATCACACTTATAGAGTGGTTTGAACTTAACAAATGAATAACGAGTCTAGAAAGTTTTTAACTTAAAGTTTAGGAAATGAAAGCACATACTTTTAGAACTATTTCAACTTGGGTGTACTATATAAGTTGATCACTTCATTAACTAAGAACAAAAACTTAGTAAAACCCCTCTATGCTATAGACATTAATCTTAAACGAGTGAGTAACGTTGTGTATAGACTTATACGTGTTGACACCCTACATGTTGTCGATAGCTACAACCCTTGCCTGATGAGTCTAAACGGTTGATAATGTTCATTCTCTAATCTCTTTCACGACATTGATGAAGTGTTGGAGATGTTCTCGGCATGACCCCTTTTTAGTGCCTTACAGAGGTTGAATCTAGCCATTAGCTCGGTATAGGCTTATAATCGCCACAAAGTACACTCTAAAAGCAATTAATTAAGTTTAAATAGGACTTAATTTGATCTATTTAGTACTTGTACTGATTTACAAGTATGTTTGTATTTGATAAGTCAGGTAAGAACTTATGATCATAATTATCAAAATGAAAAGAACCACGTATCACATAAGTAAGGTAGGTACTTATAGTATCAAATTTTACAATTTTTGGTTAGAAAAAGTACACATTTTATATAAGCCGGATAACCAATCAAAATTATATAAATATACTTTTAGTTATAAAAGTACAATGTGTCAAAACCTTTGGAACTCACCAACATTATTATTGACATATCTTCAAAACTCATGTATTCTAAGAGACGTAATTAAATGGAGTTTTACCCTCATGAATAATGAAGGAACCACTAATAAATCCCCATTTATGTTTATGCATGATTATTAAGACACACATCATAATTTGGTTTTCATGTACTCGAAGAACAAAAACAATGTAATATCTATTCGGTATTAATAGAATATGTATTTTGTATTGTTATTTTTTTTATTGTTCAATGTTCAATGACTGTGATCCATGAATACGTCGCACAACCTAACGTTTCCACCGCTGACCGGGGTGTGACACTAATTTATACAGTATGAGATTATTTATTAAAACTACCGAAGCTTCATTGATTGTGGATTTATTTAATTTAATTTTTGAAGGGGAGATTCATATGATTCGGGCTAGGAGTTAAAACCGAAAGAAAATATTGATAGTTTTGTAAATCCACACATTCTGCAAAATGAAGTGGAAGACGGTGAGATTGAATCGTCGGTTCAAGTAGAGGAATGAGATGAAAACGATGATTTGGAAGGGGTATCGGAAACCGATTCAATTGCAAGACAATAATCAGAATAATGTTTCTAATGTTGAAGTGAACTGTGACGCTTTTCGGTTTAAATGATTTAATTATAGCTAATGGAAAAACAATATCTAGAATTTTTTCTTCTCAAGATAAAGATGAACCGACTCTAGTTACGTCAATTGCCAAGTCGATGGAAGGAAATCAAGAAATTCTATAAATCCTAATTCACGCCTACTGTCCGAGAAAAAGAAGCATGTGATTAATAACATGATCAAAACCGAGGGGCTGTTTTTTCTCCTGTTGCTGCCTCGGTTTTAGTAAGTAAGACTGGGCCTTTTTTAGGACAAAATAAAATCATTGGAGACCAGGTTTGTGAAGGCTCGGATGTTAGTTCTAAGGTGCGAGACTCTTACAAAAAAAAAAACCAAATAAGCATTCAGAGGGGTTTTATATTCTAGAAAAGCTTAATGCTTTTGTAGAGATTAGTGAAGCTATGGGGTTTTCAACAAATGGGTGTGAAGTACATATTTAGAAGATTATTACACAATTTGGAGAATTTGAGTGTCAACGAATTTTCTTTCATTGAATATTTAAGGTTTTGCTTAGGCGAAAAAATAGATGGGTGAGGAAATTATGTCTTAATCATTGCATTAATTTCCTTACTATTCAAAAGATAAAATTTGACTCAATCAACGACTTTCATGTTAGACGTTTATAGAGTAATTCTTTTTTGATTTTGCTATTTCTGCTTCTAATGGGTTATCTTGTGGTATTCTTAGTGTTTAGGATAAAATAATGTTCTTGAAACAGTGGGTGGTTACTTTCGATCATTTGTTGATTATGGAAGGTGTTTGGCTTATTAATAGGGTTAACAATTGGGTCGGGTTTCGGGTTGACGAGTTGGTGGGTCAGAATACACTGACCCAACCCAACCCATATAATATATGAGTTAGTAGGTTGTAAACATCAACCTAACTCAACCCATATAATCCGTTTAAGTATATGTGTTTACGGGTCAGTTGGTTGATTTTGGGTCAAAGAGCCGACATGTTATTTTTGAGTAGTTTTTCATATGTTAAATTTATACGAATTATGCACCTCTCTAAATTAACTAATAATTAGCATTTTACATTGACTAGAATGAAATGAACAACAAAATACATGCCTTTCACGTCCGGAACTTTGGATCGAGAAATGGATTTGGGGTTAGGATTTCTAGGACTTAGCCTCTTAGGGTACGCCGTATATCGACTATATTCCATTAATTCATAAATAAAATTTTAATTTATTTTTAGGAGTGTTGGGATTTGATGTTTTAAATAACGACAAATATATATTTCGTTATAACTTTAAATAATAAAAGTTCATTTTATGGTTTATGGTTATAAATGTTAAAATAGTTGTCAAATGTCATTATTCGCTTAAAATGATATAAATTGCTTCTATTTTGAACTTGTATGTTAATTTGAAATTGTTGGTATTGTTTTGGGTAAAACTAGTTTTGGTCAAAATGCAGCCATTGTAGTGCCCAAATTTCGTTAGAAAATTTATTGCTTCTAAATGAGTCAGTGAGGCTTTGAAATTGTTGGTGTTGTTAGGCTCCGTTTGATATACGTCTGACCGAGTCGAGTCAGACGTTTTTTGCTGACTCGGTCAGCTGAGCTTGTTTGATAAACATATATGAGATGTCTGACTCGGTAAGATAGAGCTGAGTGGGAAAGACTTTGGTTATCTGCTGACTAAGAAAGGGGGGGGGGATAATTTCCAAAAGAGCCCTTGCCCTAATACGTTCCAAATTTCAGCCCCTCATCCCATTTTTTTCTCTTTCAAGCGATCAACGAAGCTATGCCCTCCATCAATCGACGATTTGCGCCTCTACAGCTCTACAAATTTTCGATTTTGCTGCTTCTTCTCATCAGGTATGGTTCTCTCTCCTCTCAATTGCGTTTTTTCTGCTTGAAGTTCTTATTTTTGCTGTTCAATTCGTTTTCTCTCTTCTCAATTGCGTTTTTTCTGCTTGAAGTTCCCATTTTTGCTGTTCAATTCGACTATTTTTCTGTTCAAGTTCCGATTTTATTCCCGTTCAAGTTCCAATTTTGTTGCTGTTCAAGTTTCGATTTTTTGATGTTGAAGTTCCGATTTTTTTTGTTCTATCTGTTTGTCCTTTGTTGTTTCTACAGTTGAAAAAGAAATTTACTGGGCAAATTTTTTTTTTTTTAAGAAAAATGTTGTGCATAATTTTTTTTTCATAAAGATACGTTGTGCAGATTTTTTTTTGATAGAGAAATGTTGTGCAAAATCTTTTTTGATTGATGAATCTGAGGTTATTTTGTGCAGGAACTTGAGTTGGAGAAATTCATAACACATGAATTGCCATTTTGTGAGATCATTAAGGCTTTTGATTAATAGTATATTTTAAATTAATATTACATGTACTAAATAATTTTAATTTTTTTATTAATAGTATATTTAATAAAAAGATTCTTGAGTATCAGGGTAAAATGGTCATTTTGCATCATTCAGCAAATTCAGTCAGATGTACAATTAAACAGCATAGTTTTTTACTCGGATAGAATTTATTACTCGGACAGATCTTTCCCAGTCAGCACTTTCTCATTCAGACACTATCAAACAGACCGCTTCAATTTTGAACTTGTATTGTTAACTATGTGTTTTCCACTTCAAAGCCCAAAGCCCAATTAATAAGCGGATCGAATTACTTGATGTTCGGATTGAAAACCCGAATAATGACCCATCAGTTTGGTAATCGGGTCGGGTCGATCCAAAAGGTTTTCTTCCCCAGTTTTGGCGCGGCGGAAGGCGTCTTGTTTGAAACGGTGTCAGGTTCCTCAACACAGAAGAGATTCTCGATTCTCGAAGATCAGAAAATCTTTCAAAACTTCAGAATATGGAAGACGACCCTTTTGATTTCGAGTCGGATGCTCTACTCGCATCTTCACCCGTTGTCGCCCCCAAAAAAAGGTAACGTTAACCCCCTTTGTTCTTTTCCTGAAAGTCGAAACGTTTCTTTCGTTCCCGCTTTTGTTATCTTGCATCGTTTCATTCGTATGAACTTTCAAAATCTGTAAAATTAGGGTTTAGATTATTGGTCATTACCTTTTGACTTCTGTTGACATGTTCGACTGTTAGGGTTTTTGATTTTTATCTGATTCCACTACAGTTGAAGGGTTAATTCCTCTTTTGATAGTTAACAGATGCACTTTCACTTTTGTTACTTCAAATATGTGAAGCTTCAACTGTAAATTCATAGGAAAAAAGTGATTGGTCTGGATGATTTACTAGTGGATCACTACAAGGAGAAGAATAGGGTAATCGAAAGGGAATCAAAAATAGCTAAAACTAAAAAAGCCTACAACTCTGATGATGAAGAAGACGGAAGAGTTGCCAAATTATCTAAATACGTTGACGAATGTCATGAAAAGGCACAAATCTTGCTCTCACCCTTTTCATTATTTATCTCAATTCATATAAAACATTGTTGCTTTTTCATTGCAATGTAACTTAATGAGTTGTATTTTGTAGATGACAAAACTAAGTGATGAGGATGATGTTTCCATTTGGGGTCTTCAAGTTTTTGGGAACCAGGTTTATTACATGTTTTGACACTCTTTGTATATTATCACACATTATAACACAATTTTCTTTTTACAATTTACAGAAATCCCCACCTTCATTTGAATTTACCAATCTTCAAAGCTGCTCCATTTTTCATTCTTTTTTGAACCATGAAGTGAATTCATTGGTTGAGCTTAGTACCAAATCAGGTCGGTATTTTTAAAAAAAGCATCTATTCATGTCATACATGGTAATAAAAAAACATTGGAAACAGGTTAGTAAGGGGCAATCTGGTAATTTCAAAGTCCAATCCTGTACTTACCCTTACCAATAGTATTTGTCATCTTCTTGTTGCAGGAGAAATATTCTTTGAGGGTTTATTGACTAATGGCTGGCTATTGAAATTGGTCCAAAAATATGGCAAAGTAGAAAAATCCATAGCAACATGGACTTTTCACTTAAGTATGTTAAATTCATTCATCTCCTAATACTTTTATATCTTTTAAAACAATAATTCACATTTTATTTTTTTCCATGTTTATAATTACAGTGTTGTACTCATCAAAGGAAGCTCTCAGAAGTGCTGCAGTCAACTTTTGGTGTGCAATTTTGCTAAAAAATGAGGTGTCAATTGTCATTAATTCAAGTCAATATAATTCATCATGTATCAATTAATTTATCATGTCCCCAAAATCATTATATATAATTTAATTTACTTTCTTGGTTTATTTAGGGTGAATCATTGTCTTTAAAGATTGATTGGCTTCCAACTTATTTGGAACTCAATGGTGCCCTTGAAACTTATGGATATTTACTGAATTCACCTAAAAAAGATTCTTGTGATACTGAAATGGACCTTGGAGGTATAATTCAAGAAATAGCAACATACTTATGTTTATTTGAGTTTTATACTTTATAGCATCTTACTTAATTCCTTTTTTCTCTAATTTCAGATTCCGAACACGTGGGCCCACCTCAAAACATTAGAGCATGGATCAAATACATCTCTACTTGTAGCCAAGCAAGGTTAGGGAAAACTTCATATGATAAGGGCATTTATGTCTTTTTCACAAGCAATAGACAAAAACCAACACCCCGTCCCACCTTTTTGGATGGGACACAAATTTGCAATTATTAACATCAAACACAATACAACCTGTTTTGTCCTGCATAACAAACGGGCACACATGACATGTTTAGTAACAAAATTTCAAATTTCTTTTAATTTATTTTGTAGGAAGTTTCATTTTATTTTCTCAACATCAGAAGTAGAAGAGTTGGTGGTTGTTATCGTTCGTCTTATGTTAGATCGACAGTTACTAGGCTTGTCTGTGGATTTATATGAATGTATGATATCTTTGATTAATTTCTTCAAAGATGAAGAATGGAGTGCCAGCTGTACAAAAATATCAAAATCCATTGCTTCAAGGTTTTTATTTATCACTATTTTCTTTTCTTTCATTTATCTTAAGGGAAAACTTGATAAAAGTCCTTACATTTTGGTCTCATACGATTTAGTCTTTATATGTTTTTTTTTATTCAATTAAGTCCCAAAACTGGACAATTGTATTCATTTTGACCCTTTTACCCGGTCAACATGTCATCCCACTTTCAAAATTTATACTTTTGGCCCAGATTTTAATTTTTATTACAAATTTAGTCAAAAAATTTACACTTTTGGCCTAAATTTCAAAATGCTGTGTTACGAATTCATCGTAAATTTGGTTTTTTAACATCTTTTTTTCTTCAAAATATTGTTTCGAATATGTTTTTTTGCTTCCAGATGAATCCTTGATGATGATAGGTGAAGAGGTACCTTGGTATGCAGACATTGTAAACTACTTGGCTGCAGGATTTCTTTTTAAAGGAATGACACATCAACAAAAGAAGAAATTTTTTTCGGACCTCAGGCACTATTATTGGGATGACCCTTACTTATTCCGAAGTTGCGCGGATAATGTAGTAAGGAGATGCGTATTCGGAAAAGAAAGTCGTGAGATCATGAAAGGATGTCACGCTGGACCGACTGGGGGGCATCATGGTGCTAATTACACAGCAAGAAAAATCTTTGATGCTGGATTTTACTGGCCTACGATTTTCAAAGATGCTCACATCTTCGTGAAAGAATGTGATGCATATCAAAGGGCCGGTAACATCTCTTCCCGAAATGAGATGCCCCAAAACAGCATCCAAGTATGTGAAACTATAAAATCATATTTATACAAAAAAAATATTTTCATATAAAAAAGTTTTTATATAGAAAAAAGGTTTTTTATGTGAAAATATATATTTTTTGTATAAATACGATTTTTTTTATAGCAAAAAAACATAATTCAAAACAAAACTTCGAAAAAAAGATGTAAAAATCTCAATTTAGAATGAACACGTAACCAAATTTTGAAATTTAGGCTAAAATTGTAAATTTTTGGACCAAATTTGTAATAAAATTTAAAACCTGGGCAAAAAGTGTAGATTTTGAAAGTTTTCCCATGTAAAAGGGTCAAAATGAATATAATTGCTGGGTTTTTTGACTTAATTGAATAAAAAAACATATAAGGACTAAATCGATTATGAGGCCAAAATATAAGGACTTTTATGGAGTTTTCCCTTATCTTAATTACCAAAAAAAAAACTATCTTTTTTGATTTTCCAAAAACAGGATTCCTCTGGATATCAATTGCTTGAGAGCTGTTGAGTGTATTCCTTCAGTTTGCTTGCACTCCAAGCAACTTAGAAGTGAAATTGCTTTCAGGATTCTTCTAGGTTATTTTAACAAGGTAGAGAATGAAGAAGAGGTGATAAGACAACTGACATTGATCAATCTAAAAGACAAAACTTGTGATCTTTTTAGAATTTATAATTACTTGGTGTTGACTGAAAACTGGTTTTTATATAATCCAATGATGAAAGAGAAGACATTGTTGAATGAAATGTGGGGCCTTTATCTACGCAATTGTTGTTGTCAAATCAACATTACTGACACAAGGTCTTATGCTTCAAAGGTGTGTATGTGATTAATTCGTTTATCGCGTTTCTATAATTTGTTTTTTTGTTTTTGTTTTTGTTTTATGATGTTTTGTGTAACAAATGTGTAGGTTCGAAGTAAAGCTTCTTATCTTGTTCAAGTCACGAGTGATACAATGATAGTGTAGTTTTAGTCATGCTAATTTGTACTTGGTGTTGATCTTTTAAAGGGGATTTGTAAAATTGTTATGAGCTATTTGACTTATGTTGGTTTTGTAGTTATGGTAGATGTACTTTGAAAAGTGTTGCATGTATACTTTATGATTGAAAATGGTGTATTTGTTTGCAATAGGGCTATTTTTTCCAACTCTTGAGAGCATTATGTGATAAATCAAGTACATAGTTGTTTGTTATGTGGCTATTTGAACTTGAATCCTTGACCATTTTGTAAGTATATGGTGTATTGTTTTTGCTAGGGTGTTATTCTTTGAGCACCCACAAGCCAACCAAAAAACATCATGTGAAATGTAATTAAGAAGTTCAATCCATATTGAAATAAAAACTCATATAATGTGGTTACTGAACCTCAACCTTCATTTATGCAAGTATTCCACCTTGGAAGCAAGTTGCTATCTATGATAATTTCTTTTAAATATGTTTACTCTTTATCAAACTTGTGACTAATTTTTTGACCTTAAATATTGATTCATGATGCATTATATTACAAGAGTTTGTGAATATGTGTATTTTGTATGATGGTAAACTTTTTATCAGGCCTGCGTATGTGTATTTTTTATGATGATAAACTTTCTATCTGGTGTATTCAACTTCAAATAAGAAATCGGATGTTGGACAATAGGACCAGAAAAGGGACTCACATGTTTATTCATCGCACCCAAGGTGTTCTGTCCCGCTCATCACAATGCTCTTCGTACATCGTGTGACATCATGTAAGGATATTTTAAGAAAATGATTAGTATTACTTGTTGTTTGCATAAATTTCATGTTTGGTCCCTAACTTTTGTTTTGCACTCGGATGGTCCTTAAGATATCATTTTATTGCATTTTTCGTCCTTCATAGTAGGGATGAGTTATAAAACCGGAAAATCGAACCGGAACCGGAACCGGTATAACCGGAAAATGCTTAAACGGTCCGGGTAATGGGTTTCAAAATTACTCTTATCCGGGTTCCGGGTATTTCGGGTACGGGTACGGTCCGGGTAATCCGAGTTTTTTAACCGGATATGTTTAAAAAACCAGAACCGGGTTTAGTTGGCCAAGGAACCGGTTTAGTGTCAAATGTGTAAATTAGATTATGTGGTAACTTTTTAGTTTTTACAACAAACAAAAAACTAAAGCGTGATAAATGTGTAAATTAGATCGTGGCAAATGTGTTCTTGCATGGATTCCGAGTTTCAAGATTAAAGGACAAATCTTGGAATACCATCATATGCTTAACATATCTGAAATGGACAATCCTAAAGGAAATACCACCAAACTCACCATAACTTCCAAAAGTGAAATCCTTGTATGTTTCGCATGGGGCCACCTGTTTATCTCAATCACATAAAGAACTAAAGATTTGAAAACTGGAATGCTAAAACTCAATTAAACTAATTACTATAATTAAATTTAAAATAATATAAGTTGGAGACGATTGCATCTTTGATGTGTCAATGAGTTTTCTAGAAACCTCGTGATTGAGGTAATTATAAAAAAATTCTGTTTTTTCAGGGTTTTCCGGTTCTAAACCCATTTATCCGGTTCCACCTTTATCACTTTGATGTTTCCGGGTTTTCCGGTTTTAGACCCACTTTACCTGGTACCGTACCTGGAACCGATTCCTTTATACCGGTCCGGTTTCTGGTTCTATAAAATTCCGTTAACCGGTTCGGGTTTGGACCTACTTTCATCCCTACTTCATAGGCATGAAAAGAATATATTACACTTTGTATATTTAATTTTTCACTTTTTCATAATTTATGTATTATTTATTAATTTAAAAAATTAATTAAAACAATTTACAAGTAAGTGGGCCCAGCTATCCCACATAAACTCGCCTTCTCCTTTTCCCTCCACCTCCGGCAACAACAGTTCATCCAACATACCTCATTCACCACAGACAGCACCTCCAGGTAACCGTCTTGTTAATCTCCAACAACCACCGCAATTAACCTCTACTAATCACCACTAAGGCTAAGGAGAGTGGTCTAATGTCCAACAACCACGTCAAATTTTTGAGTGCCACCTCATTTTTGACAATTTAGCACCCTAATATTAGCATTTGGTAGAGAGTGGTAATACTCCTAGCACTCCATTTTCTTTTTGATTTTCTTTTTCTAATTTAATTAAATTACTTTATTTTAATATGCGAACTTTTTTGTGCACAAATGTTAAACACATTTTATTTTTTTAAACCACATACAATTAATATAATATATATTATATTTTTTAAAACACAAACATTTCATATTAAATTAAAAAAGTTACAATAAATTAAAACTTAAAATACCTAGAAACACGATTTAATAATTAAAACCACGACAAAAATGACTTAACATCGACATACACGACTTAATACCTAGAAACACGACTTGATACATAAAAAACACACTTCATAACTAAAACACACTTCATAAAAAAACACACTAAAGCAACGGGTCTTCCTCCGAATACTGGCCTTTCAATCCGTCTTTCAGTAGCATATTTTAGATCAAGGTTGTCCATCGTCCAAAGATGATCGGTCAAATGGCGACAAAGATCGGTATGGATTACTGCACTGTGAATTATCCTCATTTTTTGTAACCATTCTTGACCACCATATTATAGTGGTTGTGTCTCTGGGATGACTTCATTCTCGTTGTACACACATATCGGGTTTCCTTCATGTTCTAATATGATATTATGCAATATGATTACATCACCTCTGTCATAGTAGAAATATCATGAAACATGGATGCTTTTGCAACTACCTGCCAACGCTTTTTAAGTGCTCCAAACGATCCTTTGATATCTTTTATTGTTTTTTCTTCGACACTCTTAAATTTGGACCTCTGAGGGTCATTTGCGTATGACAAACTTTTAACGAAAACAGAAAGGTCAGGATAGATACCATCCACAAGATATTACCCAAATTTGTATGTATTTCCTCGAAGTACAAATGACGAATCTAGGGTAGTACCGTCATACAACTTGTTGAATATTGGTGAATTATTAAGAATATTAATGTCATCAAGCGAACCGGTACTACCGAAAAAGGCATGTCAGATCCACAAATCCTGTGAGGCTACAACTTCAAGTACGACCGTGGAATAATGATAATTGCCCTTTGTGTATTGTCCTTGATATGCGTTAGGACACACATTCCATCTCCGATGCATGCAATCTAAACTTCCTAACATCCCATGAAAACCATGCACATTTCCATGATGAGCATATAACTTTGTATGTCACTAGCAGTAGGACGACACAAATATCATGGACCATACAAAGAGATGATAGCTATGCAAAATTCGTGAAGACTTTCTCAGGCGGTACATTCAGACATTTGAAAACTCTTGTCTAGTGCATCAAGGGGGGGGGGGGGGGGTGGGGGGTGGCATATGCTAACATACAAAATATCACAGTACATTTTTGAATTGGATCAAAGCCTAACATACCTCTTGCGTCCGGGCGTTGCTGTATATACTCAGACACTGAAGTCACACCTTCTACAATACACATAAACAAATCTTTATGCATCCGGAACCGCCGGTGGAAATAATATCCTTCAAAGAGAGCATGCTTGTCAAAATAATCATGCATGAGAAGTTGGTGAACTGCTTCACGCTGTCTTTAAATATATCTTCTTCGTTTACGTTGCGTATTACTCGATTCAATGTTGTTAAGATGTTGTTCTAGCCTATTACGACGAGGACGATATTTTTTTTGAGAGAAAGAATGATAGTTTCGTTTCTTTGTTTATAGTGGTCTTATTTATAGCGAGTGTGGTCTTTTTTATAGTAGTTGAAATGGTGGTTGAAAATTTTAATGAAAGTTGGTGGAAATGGGGGTGGAATTAATTTGGTTAAAGACAAAAAATTAATATTTAAATACAAAAGGTTACATTAATTAAAATATAAAATACGATTAAAAATTTAAAACATAACTTACTTCCTAAAACACGACTTAATACTAGACGAAAAACATAAATTAAAACTGCATTTAATACATAAAAATACTAAGACTTATCCCAATTGTATTCTTTCACAAGATCCTTCTTTGTATTGTTGAAAATCCGACGATCCTCCTCGGACAAGTTGTCTCCCATGGTTAAGAAAAGCTTTAGCGCATGGTTCCTTTCTTTCATCCTTCCCAATTCCAAAAATCCCTGAAGCTTAGCATGCAACCCTTTGATGTTGCTCCTTATCTCCTGTACCAGCCCAAAAATCCAAGGTAATAAAATTTCATTCTTGTTATAATCAAAACACTGTTGTAACTTTGTTCTAAACATTGAAAAGCATTTTGATGATATATGGTCCATTAGCATGGCCTAGACCGCTCTAGCGCGCCAGCCTGGCCTAGCGCGCTCCTGCTAGCCCTGCCTGGCGTTCCCTTGCCAGCCTTGTTGGAGACTCCCTTGTCAGCCTTGTTGGGGACTCTCCTGTTGGCCCGGCCTGGGGACTCCCTTGCCAGTCCTGCTGGGGACTCTCTTGTCGGCCCGGCCCGACGCTTCCTCGCCTTGCGTTCCCTTGCCAGCGTTTCCTGGTGCGCGCCCGCCAGCCTTGCCTGGTGCGCGCTCACCAGCCCCGCCCGACACCTCCGGGCGGCCTTGCCCAGCTCCTTGCTAGCTGGGCCTGAAATTGGGCTGGCCCAAGGCCTGACCTAATTCCCCTTGACCTAGTTGTCCCCTATAAATAGAATAGTGCCTCTTCCATGAAGGAGGAGCTTTCCCAAGGGACTTTCCAAGGGACCTCTCCCTGGACCTTTTCCCTGGACTCTTCCCTATGGCTCAGCCGCCATACCATACTCCGGCCAGGTGGCTCAGCTGCCACCCGCCGCCGTCAGCCACCATACACCACCACCAGCACCAAGATGGTCATCTCTAGCTGTGGAGGACCATCTCAGATCTTCCAGCTGGTGTAACTTGACCGTCGGAGTCCGCTCCCGGGGCACAGTCCCTGGGGCGGCTTTAACAACTTTGCACTGTGATGTCCAGATCTCTGCCGCAGCAGAGGACCAGAAGACTCGTCGGAGGTCGATGTCGCATCATTTGGCGCCATCCCGGATTCGAGCAAGTAGCAAAAGCCTCAGTTGGCCTCCAGCTCGATTTTGCCCAGATTTGTTCAGATCTGAT